GAGAAAGGAGCGATGGAGAGGTGTAGGGAAGGAAAGAGAGAGGGCGGATAAGGTGAAATAAATCGTAAAATTCCAACAAATTCAGTTCCTTTAAAAAGGCCACTAAAATCATTTATATCTAAAAAAAAAAAAAAACTTCTATAAACCTCCTATGTCCACCCCCCTAAAATCCGGCGACCAGTTCCACCAGTTAGCGAGGAGCCATGACAGCCCGCCAGCCAATCACAGCGCTGGAAAGACCGGTTTAATGCTCATTAGGTAAAAACGTCTGCGTTCCAACTTTCACTTCCATTCTGAACAAAAATATGTGTGGTGTTGATCCTGAGAGAGACACAGACAGATAAAAAGAGCGAGAGAGACGTGGATAAAGAGATAACTAAAGAACGAGAAAGATCCATCGTGGCACCAATTGCTTGCAGCCACACACACACTCCCATGGTAGTGTGAAAAACAATACAATTTACGAACACACACAACTCTCGTCTCCGTCCCACTAACCCTTATAGCAAACTAATAGACCACAAGAAACAAATTATTAGGTTAGGTTTTTCACCGCCTGTACTGTAACACATTCAATGGTCTCTTACTGTGAGTATCGTCTACATTATTAAAGTTATCGTTTATACCACAAGGGTAATGTTTATATCTGTAAGTCTCATTATTATGTCATACTCCTGTCAAAACAACACGACAGACATTTATTTGTTAAAAACTGTCTGACGTTACATACTGTCAATATTGATTTTACTGATTCACACTTAAGTGACGTAAGAATCACAATACTGCCCCCATTGGTCGATTACTTGTGAAGGATGTTGAAGCGAGTTTATTGGCTGACAGACAGTGACGTGAACACGACTCGAGGCATGACGTCATCGGTAAAAGTAGATGCTTATAATTATTAACTGTCCAGGATGAACCCAGCCAGTTAACTCGGCAACTCACACAGAGATAATCACACAAAGGTTATTAGAGCATGTTAATTCCTCCTATAAACCAACACAACTAAAACAAAAACACAAAACATATACCAAGACGCCTGAAATATATGCTCGACTTTCTACCATACTGCTGAGTCATCAAAACAAAAACCATTTCCTATGGCTTGAAAAGATCGTAAAAATGATAATGAAGTGAAAACGTGAGTGTAAGTTGCGATCTTCATGGCTGAACCTAAGCTCTCTGTGATCACAATAAACACATTAGTGATATTAGTTAGACAATCACGGTATAGAAAGTTTAGAAACACTTAACATACCCGGACATAAATGGAATCATCTCTTTACTACTTTTACGGCTGTTATCTACTATTACAACTACAATTTTCACTACTACAACTCTACTACTATTACAACTCTTCTACTACTACAACCACCACCACCTACAACAATTACCACCACCAGCTATAACAACTACCACCATTACAACACGCCCAAAACAACATTAAAATAACAAGCACAAACACTACACATAATGAGGCAATTTTTCGACCACAATTCAAGCTCTAAAAAAAATAAAAAAGTCAGCGTTGTCAATCCACTCCCTCCGTGAGGTGTAAACGCCACAACACTCACACACTACCTTCAAACACCAGCACCTCCCCGCTAGTCACCCAAACCTCGGCCACGACTCAGCAGCACAGACAGGAGGACTCAGGCACCACACCACCACAACGAAGCTACCTGACTAAACCCAATCTCCTGTGGGCTGAACGTTAGATTAGCTCAGATACAGCAGCAGACGCCCACAGCTGACAAGAGGACTTTGATATTGAACCAGTTTATTTAGCCAGAAAAATACAGAGTGGATAATAACAACAATATTGGCATGGCTGAACCAATTGAGACCCTGAGCTCTCTTTGTGGTACTGGATATACGTTATTATAGGTTGACCCGTGTGAATTGTCAGGTCACGTCTAGACCATAGCCACAACAACTATCGTCGTTGGTCGTCCACTTCCCAACACCGGCTATGACACATCCGACTCTAACAGAAATAAAGTGAACGCCATATCCGGGTCTTAATGAACACCAACCGGCCTTACAGAAAGCAATCACGCGTCACAAATACCTCTACCATAGCGTTTAAAACCAATCTAAAACTCCATTAACTTGAATTTGTTGTGAGAAGAGAAAAGTCACCCAGTTTCTCTAATTCAACGACAATTAATTACTAAAACATCAAAGGCTACAGTTACAGATTCCAAAATGATTTCATAAACATTATTCACGATTAGTATTCATTATAACACAACAATCTCTTTCATTAACCTTATCTTTACAACTACAAATATTAAGTACACGTTTCTATTGATAACTAAAAATATACACAAATTATTGTTTGTTTTAGTTTGTGCTGAAGCCGAGCCGGTATGGCGAGCATCGGCTGACTCACTAACACACAAACAATCATCTGTTGTTTTGTCATGTTCAATGCTGCGGTTCAGTTTCCAAGACACACATTCAACGTTCTAGCCTGAAAGACCCAGGAGTAATATACAACTTTTTTACAGTTTTACAGACATATACAGTACATGGACGTCTAGTCAAGCTTAAAAGATCTATATACATCATCACAAACGTCTTAGGTGAACTTATTGACACACCCCCCCCACACACACACATTAATCAACTATGTATTTCTTTTTGGGCCTCTCAAAATATAAGTCAATTAATCTATCTATCTATCAATGTACGAGTGTTTTTAAGATGTGACCAACTGAAGAATGGTTAGCTACGTATGATTGGCAACGCTGACTAGTCTACGTCACCCCCCCAGGACGTATTGTACTTAATTTCTTCAAATATTACCTTACAGCAGTCAAACACCTCGAGTGCATCACAGCATCTCAATTAATAACAAACTACCCCCATCTTTCAGTGAAAAATTCAAGATCTTTATGTGACCACTGTTACAGCTTATTGATGAGGATGAATGTAGTCAGTCTAGCGATCAGTGTTTTTCAGTGTATGACCCGAGCAAACAGTAATGAACGGACCACGAATTACCGGCTATGATGGAACAATGAATCTAGACAGGTATAGGGCAAATCATCGCAGAGGTGACCTAGGCCTGACCACCTAATTACATCTCGACTTTTGTTAAAACTTTTACTGAATACATTACGGTGTTGAACTTAAAAAAATATATTATCCCGTTCCATCGATACATTCCGGATATTTGCGTTTGTGTCGAGACTAAAATGCATAGCTAAAGCGTTTATTTGCGGTCGTCAGCTTATTTTTAAGTCTTGTTGTGGTGTGGAGATGTGCTGACTGCTGACGTGGAATGAAAGTATAATGAATGGAAAGAAAGCTTGACTGTAAACCATGAACTCAACACAAGACGATTTCCTGCAGTTTCTTCTCGTTGTTGACCGTGTTGCTCTGAACTAACTCTTAACACAAGGCCTTACTCACCAAACTAATTAAAAATAGTCAAAACGTGTGTTCTAATACATATTAGCATAAGTTTGTTTTTTAATCTACGTAGCCAAAAGGTGGAAACGGGTAAAAATTAGACAAAATAGGTGTCATTCCTCGATTCGACCTACACTCTAGCCTAATAGACCTACACAATATGCTACACTATTAAACCTACACACTGTTTTAGCCTTGGATCAAATAATATACTCTACTGTAGACTTGACATATTACAAAACTGCTGTTACGATTTCCATTTGTTTTGGCGAGAACCCATTGAGGTGTTTGGTAAAGGCATTATTAACATATATTTAATTCAATATAAGGAATTTCACGTTTTAATCTATACTGCTACAGCGATATCAGTTTACTTCAGTGTAACACAAACAATAACAGGAACTCTTTTAAGTTTACGTTGTCAAAGCCAGGCTGTAAGTTCCCTCCACTACGACGCATGGCAACTTTTCCCCACAACAAGGCATAACAACTGTAAGTTTTATAATTACCCCAAAATTACCACACATCATCATTTTATGGCCCTTTCCACTTGAGTAAACTGGCAGTCTGTGTGAGTGGTAGTCTTAGAGAATGAGTGTTTGTCTACCTCGCTGAACAGCTGTGGGAAAGCAGGTGTAGTGCAGGTAGGTTATCGAGTCTAAAACATGCATGGACACGTGTGGGCGTCTGTGTTCCGACTGCATGGTAAATAAATCCGCCACCTCGTCAAACTTAACGTGAATGAACCTAACCTAACCTGACCAAATTCGGTAAAATTGCAGATCACAGCAACCAAAGAATCTGATAAAAATGTGTTACCTAATATAAGAAAATTATCGTAGAAAAAATAGTTCTGTCGAATAAGTGTAGTGAATTTCCGGAATTCTGTGGTTGCTGTTTTACTGCAATATTACCCCAAATTCAACCTAACCTAACCACTAAACAGCAAATAAACTTATGGACATTTCTACCAGTGGCATTTTATCCGGTAGTAAAATTGTAATGAGGATTCAGTCCATAGTTAACAAGTCCCACGTGCGTCTGTTAGGGCGAGTCATTCCCCACGAGCCGTCGACCGACTCTATCCTCACGTTCACCAACTTAATGTAGTGGAACAGCTGCAAGAACACTAACAAGAAACGATACTGACATTCATTTACCCTCACAACACATGAATAGTATTGTTAAAAAAAATCTTGTAAATCATTTCCTAGTTCTTACAAATGCAGATCACCTGAACTATCTCCATCTCAGCTTTTTTCACCTTAAGATTAACTACCTAACGCTAATCTAACCTAGCGTATCCTAATCTAACCTACCCCCTCAATACTGTCAGGGTGGTTAATCTGAAGGTGAAATAAACTGGGGTAGAGAGTCTTCGGGTAATCAATTCACTTTCATGTGATTTAAGTTAATTTAAGTGTGATATATATTATAATAGAAGTTCGCCTCGGGCACCCCCAAGAGAGAGCTGTGACCAGAAGCGGTTTTGATTCTTCCTGGGAAAATTCTTCACCTACAACAGCTTTAAAAGACAAAATATTAGCGCCATATCCCAACTTTCTAATACCTGTACTCACCTGTATCATCGATGTGTAGTTGTCAATTATAAAACCTTTCCTCGGTGGTAAATTTAGAGAGTTGCGAAGACTTGATTTGAAAGTCGGATGGTGATGATGCAAGTGAAAACAGTTTGAGGGGCGTGAGGCGAGAGGAGGAGCGCGAGAGACAACCGACCACATCGGCACCAGGCAGGTAACTGAGGCCGCTTGTGGGTCACGCCGGCCTCACTGCCCACCACAACACCCACCCCAGGATCCTCCAATAGCCACTCCAGGATGCAGGTGAGCTAATTATTACACCTTTAAATATTCCTACAGTATCTAGTGTATTATATGAGCCCTAATTAATGGCAGTCAACTGTCTGAAAATGACTTAATAGCGAATGTTTGTTTGTCAGGGATTGTCAAAATGCAGGTCGCCAGATGCCATACCCTTCCTCGATACAGCTGGGCGTATTAGATCATCTTCGATATTCTTATTATTTCCGGTATGTTATATAGTAGTATATCCTCTTGACTGTAAACAGCTAAATTCTGGTTGGTTTAATGTCTGTAGGAATACAAAGGTCTATTACCATTGCTCGCAGGACAAATTGAAATGCAAATTACATTTCACTTGGGCGTATTTTGAGGACAGTTTTCATTGGTTAATTTGACCATGTATGGGTGAACGGTATCTGAAACCGTGTTAACATTGATGAAATTAATACCAAACTGATCATAGCTAGATGTGTAGGTTACAGCACTAGTTTTCTAAGATACAGATGAGTCCTAGATTTTTTTGAAGGCGGAGTCGCTCGTTTCATGTGTAAGAAGACTTTTAGTGAGAATCTGGGGTAAAAACTGTATAAGATTAAATAAAGTCATATTTGAAGTTCTGCCATAGCCCGTGAAGACCTTTGATGGTCAGAAATATATAGACAACATTGATTTAAGTTTGTTTTCATTAGAACATGTTGGTAATGTTTATAACAAGAAGAAGCAATAGTGAAAATGTGCCATGTCCTTCAAGTATTGTTAACGAAATTTTGTTGACACTTTCTACGTTGTATTCTTAACACATCTTGTCTGTGAGTTATTCTGATTATAACTATTTTCTGCTCTAAGTAAAAAAAAAATCTAAACTTTCTATTCGCCATTTTAGGTGTTTGAAAGATAACCTTGAGATAAGTTATTACCGACATAGGTATAATGTTTGTAAGCGGGTGTAAAGAACTGTATCTAAAAATGGTAAATATTTTTTCAGGGAGTTGGGAAGCGTTATAAGTATGACGGCCAATTTTACCTAAAGTACAGAGCGAAAGCATTAGCGGTTCAGCTTTTTCCCTCTCAGCTCAGATGTTGAGACAAAAACTGGTCTCAAAGCTCCAGTTTTCTTATCACGCCAAGTTTTGTTAAAGCTGAAAAACACCAAATTTATCGCCAGGTACACGTATGAACAATTTCTAAACCTTCGATACACTACACTACACTACACACTAACATAAGTACCTTTACATTTGTGTTTAAACTTGCATCAGTTGTCTTGCGAGACGCTGCAGTGTCATGTATGGATATAACGAATATAGAAAAAAGAATCACCGGAGTCACAAATATAACCTAATTCAATGTGAGAATAACTATATATTTGACTACGAATATGTCATAGATAGCTAGACCACTAAGTCGCCTCGTGTAAGCTGCGTGAATATTTACAGCAAGTTCATCGTCGTCTCTCGGTGATACAGGAATAATGAGGCAGTTAGAAACGTCTTTTTCTACGATTCACCGACTTGATTGGTGGAAGACTGTGTACATCTGCACATCAAAATATACAGTATTATACTAAACCTGTTTGATGTATGAGTAATAATTCGCTTGATATCTAATACTGTCTTGTTTTCGTGTTGAGTTTGATGCCATTTGAACTGCAATTTGCAAACTTGTGCCATAAGGCGGCGTCACACTGGCATTCTTTCGTTGATTTTTTGTCAACTTTAAGAAAATCGTATTTTTTTGTTGTTGTGCACCGTCATACAAGCGTTTATAACCAACTAGCCAGTTTCTCTCATTCAACAACTGTCAATAAACAAGATGAATCAACCGACAAAGAAAGCGGAGAATCCTGGGTGTTCCTTTTCTCACCCACCCAAGTGTTGTCACCTCTACATCGGCCACTTCCCTCATATGGGCAAGAGTTTCCCCACGAAATTCCAACAATAATGTATAAAACCTACCGATTTTCCCACAAATAATGCTGAAATAATATATAACCGAAATTAAGGTACTCCAAATTTATTATCAAAAGATGTAAAGGTAAAGTAAATTAAAGGCTAGAAGACATAAAAGTTAAACTACCAAATGTTATGAAAGCAAAATGTAATACGTTGTTGCATGTTACAGTAACAGCTTATAGTGGCATAAATAATAAGTAATGTAGTATCCTTCTTTCAAACAAAGCATTAAGTGTTAAGAAGAACGGGGATTAGGTTATGGCTGCATGCTGTGGGTCCAATAAAACTTAAAAATAGTATAACCGTTAGGGTTATGAGGAATCAGTTCAGTGTTACAGTAACTCAGTAGAGGTTATCATACCTAGGGGTCCGGGGTCATACTTCCTTCTCAAGTGTGACAATTTCTTGGCTATCATCTCTATTATTTTCTCCTTCAATTTGAAAACTTCCCTAAGCAGCAAAGATTTTCAGCATATCTTCTGAGGATGTGAAATTCACGCATGATATTCCCTGAAGTAATAACACATACCTGATCTGAAGTGTTGCCTCAACTGATCGTACACTAAAGCGATTCCTCGTTAGCCGCTTGGGCGGTCGGTCACGTCTCTGTTACACGCCGTTTGGTAAGTACTGAGCATGTACTGGCTCTGTTACACACTGTTGGCAAGTACTGGCTCTGTTACACACTGTTGGCAAGTACTGGCTCTCTGTTACACACTGTTGACAAGTACTGTGGGTGTACTGGCTCCTGAATGTATCTGAACCTGCTTCAGTGTTGGTCAAGTCTGTCCTTGAAAGAGCTCACACTCGGTGCCGTCACAACACTCTCTGGTAGATTGTTCCAAGAGTTCACAACTCTCACTCCGAAAAAGTTACCCTTCACAGTTTTCTGGGCCTGTGACTTGTTCAACCTTGAGCTGTGACCTCTTGTGGGCGAGCGTCTGCCAGCTCCAGCCTCTTACTAGCGTTCATTTCACTGGCATTTAGCTTCACTGGCGTTCATCTTTACTGGCGTTTACTTCCACTGGCGTTTACCCTCAGTGCCGGATTTAAACTTGGCATGACTAGTTACGTCGCCCTTTCTTTTAAGCTCCTCTTATGTTTGTGGTGGTGTGTTGATTAGTGGATGTCAAGTATTTGACCTGACCTCATTCATGTTTTGTAAGGTCACCCTGTGTGCATAAGCCTCTCAGTCCTTGTAATTCAGTTGCCTCTGAAGATGTCTTGAATAAAGACGAAAGCTAAGGTGCTCCATTGTTTCCCTTTTTCCTGTGTGATTTTATCAAGATTTATCTTATCCACGTTTCCATTGTGGTTACTAGGAGTACTCTGGAAATTGCTATCTAATCTAACCTCGGAATTTGTTCCCAGACCCAGAACAGAAAACTTTGGAGACTCCGTAATTTTCCAGAATTACTCATTTCATCCTCAGAATCTGCTCACAGACCAAGAAAAATGGAGAAATTTCGGAATTTTCAGAAAATACAACTGATTTTCAAACTTGGAAATTCATTTGAAGACCCAGAATGGATCGACTTCCCAGAGATCCGAGCCTTGAAGAGTTCCGGCTAATGGAGATATTAACTGGAAACGGAACAAGAAATGGGATCCTTGCTACAAATTATCTTTTTTAACTAGCAACAAATTTCTGCTTTGCTACATTAATATGAAATGCATTTAATGAAAAGAAATACGGTTCTATTAGTTTACAGGCTGTTTACTGTACTGGACTGTATGTAGGGTCAATATAATGGCAAAATTGAGCTACACATGAATCATTTACATGAAAATTAATCTACTAAAAAATTAATCATAAAAGTGACTTTGTAGTAGCTGCTGCCTCACACATTGTCCACTTCCACCATTATTATTGACTGCTGGTCCATCTGCATCCTCATGTTCCAAACATTTCCAAAAGAGGAATCAGTCTTTTAACACAGTAATTGTGGAGTAAACCGCATCACTGGCTATTCTGCCACATCTAACTGGTTCATACTGTAAGGATCATCCTGAATAGTGTAGGTTGGGTCAGGTTTGGTTAGAAAAGAGTTGGGTAGGATAGGTTAGGATAGGCTAAGTTTGCATTAGGATAGGGTAGGATAGGCTAGACTAGGATTAATTAAAGCAACCAACACTATATTGTGTTGGAATAGTACAAGATCTCCAGGTTACACGACCTATTACAGGATGTACAGTAAACCCTCGATAACTCGGCACACATGGGGCTCTGGCCTTGCCGAGTTATCCCAAATTCCAACTTATCGAGGCACTTTCCCCCTTCTATAAAAATAACACAAGAAACAATTATCGACCCATAAATGTGTACTACATGTAATTACTAAATGGAAAAAATTAACACTTACCTGCACTGCAGGTGAAGAATGAAGCATCATAGTAGGTGACACAGAGGCATGGTAGGTGATGCAGGTGGCCAGATATGCCGAGATTTTCCCAGTTAATTTTACACATCTCAGCATTTCCCCCGAGTTATACTAATACCTTAAGAGACCAAATCCTTGCCGAGTTATCGAGTGTTTACTGTAGTTCGTTACAGTCCTAAGATTTCTTCCCATGGAAAGCTATATCTCCTTAAATGCTCATCACTCACGTCCAGTTGATCACAAAATATGCATTTTGTATGAATGTTATTGTGATTATCTGCTTTTTCAGCATCCATAAGGCAAGCAGCTCACATCAATGCATGACCAGTACACACTATTCCAGTACACAGGCAGCTACACTATAATGTTGACCCTGGAGAGTTGGTCCCAGTAGATGTGTCAAGACCTACATGACAACTGGTCTTGGGTCAGGTCACATGTAACACATCTGCTTTATTATCACAATATTATACAGTTCACTATGACTTATGTTTGTGATGCCTTGCGAGTGTTTTATTATCGGGGAAAAGGTGTCCTGGTCCCTACAGCCGAGTCTGAGCTTCCCAATATTACACTTCTTTGTTCCTCTCTACAATCTACATACTTGGTGCAGGTAATGCAGTACAGGTGGTGGTGTGTTCACTACCAGGTCTACTGATTGATATCATTTGGATTAAGTGGTCATAATATACAGATAGATATTCTAGGCCGGATTCAGGAGTGGGCAAAGTGGGCAGCTGCCCAGGGGCCTCCACAATCTGGGGGCCTCCACACATCAGGGCTGGTCGACTTGAAACCACGTGAATGACTCCAGTCATGTCTCACTTTTGTGTGTGTGTTGGGAATTTGTACACTATCAATAAATATACAGATAATTAAAAATTTCTCAATGTTCTAATTTCCTCAATATAACTGCATATGGCTTCAAAATTCTCCAAAGAAGTGTTCAAATTTCAAAATTTTCCCGGGGGGCTTACAGCACCCCCCGGGACTCCCAGATGTTTAGGCTCGCTTCACTCGCCACCCCACCCTCTTGGGTAGATATAATGAGGGGGGCCTCCACAAAGAGGCTTGCCCATGGGCCTCCACAGGTCTAAATCCGGCACTGTTAATATTGCTAGATGGAGTGGCTAATAGTTTACTATAGAGACAATAGAAGAATATATCAAGAGAGGTAGTATGGGACAATAGAGTGCTTTAGAGAACCTAACTTTCTTACCTACTTAAGAGTGAGTGTCCAGCATTAATCACCTGTTCTACCAAACACATCTCACCTGGTTAAAGAAATCAACAAACAATTAGTCATCATCATCACCTAAACTCAACACTGTGTATGGGGGACAAACAAACTCCATAAAAGATGCATTATGTCTAATTTTCATTGTATTACAACACTTGAAAAATACTACAACATAAAATTTCACTTATTTGTCATGTTTGAAATTCCAAGCTGAGGCCGAGTGATGGAAGGCTAGGAGGAGGGGGAGGTGGTGAGGGAGGCACACATACAATATACAACAACAGCTCATGATGAAGCACAACTACACCAGATGTCCAGCCAGCCACACCTTGGATGTGTTGTGTGAAGGTTTACCGGGTGGGGCTGTAAGCTAAAAATAAATAAACGACCCTGAAGAGTACAGTTCACAAACAAACAAAGACTCCACTAACTAAATGAATAATTATAAAAAATACAGAAACAAGAATGACAAATTATATGTCCAAAAAGGGAATAAATTGGTATTAATCACAAATATAAACCTCAACTAACATTTTAGAACAGAAACTTTTACGCCTCGCCTCTCATACACAAGATCCTGGACGCTGACTCGTACACCTAGCCACCAAACACAAAGAGTATTATATGTGTACCACTTATGAACAGATTGTTAATACAGCTTATTATAACACAGGTACTACAGCAGAGAGCACAGTGAGGAAATAAACCAGGGATTGACCTTTTAACACAACGGAGTAAATCCTCTCGGGACCGTCCACGCACACAGTACTATGTGGTACATGTATATCTGAATTTGTTATCAATTATCTCAACACAGTCAGGCTCCAAGACAGACTGTAACATTCCAACAGCCAAAATCAGTAAGAAAACATGTACTTACCTATACAGTACACATAAATGACAAACCTAAATACCAAACTAAACAAGAATTTCTCAACCATTTTTCCTATAACTTGTATTGATTGTTCCACATAAATATATGAACAAAGTACAAATTAAACAGCAATGGCAGAGTTTTTTTTTATCCTTTCTTAACATGAACAAGCAAAACATACTTCCAAACACTCAACAGACTTAGGTCACACCATCTAGACCCTAACAAATATATTATACACGCTACACTTACAGATTTCCGTGGAATCGCATGAACGTTTGTACAGGTAATGCAACAGCAACATGGTCTCCCCTGTATGACCCACATCAACAAGTGAGGACAATGTTGTTGCTGTACCACAACCATAAATGTGATCGCCACAAGAATTGGTAAAGCAACGTATAAATTTCTTTGTGACACCCTGTACTGTGCTGTATAAATAAGTTTGATTTTTTTTGTCACATCTTCAAATACTTTAAACTCCAACACACCAGAATCACACCTCAAGAGTACAGTACCTCCTCTTTACCGTCACCTCTTCCATAACTAACTCACCTCCAGCTCTCACACAATCCCTCATTAACTGTAAAATAACTAATGGTCGTTACCTTCTGAAGTACCACCGACAGATTCTGAACTACTCTATGCGACACCTTCAACATACCCCAAACAATGGCTCACGTCCATCTCGTGGTAGTTAAAATATTTACAATACTTTGGTGAATCTAACGAGCATGTCAGAAAGACTTAAAAAAAATAATTTAAGTATAATGGAGTATTTACCTTATTATTGCCTTCCTAAGAACACCAATGATGTCTGCCATAAACTTGCTGAACTCCTGTACCGTGCCATAAACTTGCTGAACTCTTGTACCGTACTGCATGTATTCCTATGTACTATATCTGTATTTGGCAAGACAGTGATGGGCCTCTTCAACAAATGATGAACAATGAACTGCCACATCATACACCACAAAATCTGAATTTCTCTCAAGTAACTAAACTGTCTTTTGACCTAAATAATACACAATTAAAAAATATATACATAAATTATATATCCATCTGAGTATAGGAAAACACCTACAGTCGACTCCTTCAGGTTCGACAGTGTTATGTTTGACCCTGTAGAGACTCTCTGTAACACTACACCTCCCTCACAGCGCTACACTCATCCACCACACCTAGACACCGTTTAAACTTTGATAATAACCAGAATAAAGCAAATTTATAGTGTTTTGGGTATTAATCATCACTATAATCATTTTTAAGAATATATAAGCATTTGATGGCCAGGCTAGTGATAAAGAGTGACTAGTCCCCAGCTATCGGACACAGAGCCGAGGTAACACCTGCCTCCTGTTACCTACTAGTCATGCGGTGGCAGAACTGATGGTGATCTGTGTCTGAGACTGTTTTCTTCAGTGTGTATCTTTACCTGGTAGTATGTACAGGGCATCTCAGAAAAATGTATACACACCACCGCACAGATTTTTGAGGAGATTGTGTGAATGTTTATACTGCATTACAACAGCAACATTGTCCTAAACTGGTGAGGTGTGATTTTAATTAAAGTAATTTTCAATCCTAATGTCAGAATTACAAGTCTACAAGATGGGATACAAAATTTTCTCTCTCTAAATGACTCTAACTTGTGTGTTGTATCAGTTAGTTTAACTCGCCAACACAGCCTTCAGCACCTACCTAACACTGTACTGGGTCCCCTCCTGCCTCAATGTATGTATTCAACCTAAATAACCAACTCTTATCCATACAGTATATCAAAAAAATATAAAAATAGTACATTATTAGTGAATTCCTTTACAGGAGGCAAGACTCATCCTCACTTCAAATTTATAGGAACTAATGCGAGGTAGAATGTCTGTCAAAAGTGGGTCCTTAGTCCTACAGTATAACACAAGTATTGAGACATAACACAGAGTAACCCTGTTAAACACACACCACACACTCAGCTCTGTTAAACACACACCACACACTCAGCCAACAGCTTGAATTATGTTTCAATATACAAGTTAACTTAAAAGAAGCAATCTCGACACAATGAAGTACCAACTGAAACTAAATATTTTGTCATGCTGCAACTGTACATAACAATTACTTCTTGTCAAACTTATAGGCGACCCCTCACACACACACACAGATCAGAACAAGTGTGGCCAGGGGTAAGACCAGTTTCTTTATACTTCAACTAAACAAAAAAACACAGACAATACATAAAAGGAATTTGTACAAAACTGTTGAGAAAATAAAATGAATGATTTAGTGGATAATCTCTTAAGATAAGGACACAACAGCAGTACAGTATACTGTTTATCATATGTTGTCTTTCATAACTCCTACACTACGGTCCTGAAGCATATTTATAGAGCAACTAAATGATCATTTGAGATTATTAAACGTGTCCCATTATTGAGAATATAACTTTTATTAATGGATTATTTCTGTATAAGTTGTTGTTTAATAAAGAAGATCCTTTAAACAGTCACTTGCATCAACACTTTCCATAATGTATCTCACTTCAGTATTTCCATTACTGTTCTTCTTACAAAAAACTTTGATTTGCAGTACAACTTTGGTTAGAAAAACACTTTAGTAATAACTACGACTCCGCAAGCGCTGGAACATTGCTTGTGGATCAAATGGACATATACCAAATCTGTTGAACTGACTCTTAACTTTTTCTGGTGTTGCCTGAGCAGTAAGACAACTGATGATGAACGGGGCAAAGTTCTCCTCCAGAAGAGGCTTAGAGTTGTTTGCACGGCTCCACTCGTACAGAGCTCTGCCCCAGTTGGTACGGAAATAATCTGTCACGATCCACTCTGCGGGACTCACTATGGGCGACATGACCCGAGGCACGGGGACGAGCTGTATCCCCTGAGACATGAAGCTCTCGCTCATCCTCATCAACGGGATGTTGGAGATGTACTCGCTGGCGAAGAGAGCCACGGGGAAGTGGATGCACCTCTTCCTGAGCCACGGCACGAACACGTCACTCACAAACTCAGAGATGCAGTCGCCGTAGAGCCAGCCGTTCATCGATGAGCCCAACACCCACTCCTGCCCTCCCTCAGTATTTTTGAGAGAAGAAAAAAGTTTTTCTGGTATTACCATCCTGGGGAAGATTATCATTCCAGGACCTATCTGACCGTCTGCACTTAAAATGAACAACACTGTAACTGTGTCCTTTTCATTGGAACAATGAACCTTTCCAGGGAACATTCTGTGATATTTAATTTCTCTCGTTTGCTTGTCTAAGAAAAAATTCAGTTCCTGCATGTAGAACACTCGACGAGGCGTAACACCGTAGAACTTAACCATGTCTACTTTTAGCTTAAGGAGCCACTGTCGCGCTTCACTGTTGGTCGGCTCTGGCCAAGTTTCTTCTCCGCCAGGCAGGCGGTGAGCGGAGCGGAACTCTTGGCACCACTTCTGGGCCTCAGATTTACAACAGAAGGGTGTGAGTGTACCGCGGGCCTGAAACAGCTGTTTAACAGTCTGGGTAATACTCTCCATGGAGGTTGGCAGTCCAATGTCAATGAGCTGCAAGATGAGAGCCTCAACCACTGCCATCACCTCTGGGGTCCCTGTCAAGATAACATATATTAATATTTCCTCTTTCCAGGAGTCTCACAAGTCACCCCTTGAGGACTGACTTACCAAACGGATCAAGATATCAAGGGGTTAAGATATCGTACTCAAGGGGTTAAGATATCGTACTCAAGGGGTTAATGGCAGCTATTACTAAACTAAAAACTTTAACATCCTGTATAACTAGTTCTCAGTTTTTGTGAAATACTAAATAAAACTCACAACATAAAAGACTCTGTGATATGCTGGTCTGGGTGTCTCCTTCACTACCATAGACTGTACTGTACAACAAGACCTACATCTCATAATTATTTCTTGATGAACTCTGGTGTTCTTACTAACACTTAAAGACCTTAGTTGTATTATTAACATTTTATCATCAACAACAAGGCTTCCTACTCTCCTCCTCCTTCACCCCCCTCCACTTCCTTCCTTTTCTTTTCCTTTACCCTCCTCCATTCCCCCCCCCCCTCTTCCCACTACAACACCACCTCTACTACAAGACTAACACCATCAGTCACCAGTAGAACTCATTGACTCACTTGGTGTATGATGGTGGTGGTGGTGGTGGTGTTCCGGATCATCCACACTGAACCCAAACTCTGAAAAATGAAGAATTGATTACATCTCTTGAGAGGATAGAGACAACTGTCCAACTTGTTCAATTTCTCCCTGAACACAGATCTTCACTCGAGTCAGAAAGGGATGGTTGGTTAGCCACATTCAACACACCACACAGGAACACGAGGAGGTCCGCAACATTCAGTTCTTACTTATATTTCTGTGGCTTTAGAAATCTCAAAATATGTAAATTGATAATAAACTGAAAGAGAATAAGAATAGCGAAAGATAATATACACAATAAGAGAGAGAGAGAGAGAGAAGAGTAAAAACAGAAATGATTAAACAGTCAAACATCGAAGGTCTCCCTATGTCTGAACAATAGAAAATACTATACATAAAACTTTTCTTTATGTAGAGCAGCAGTAACCATCTTCCCAGCCTAAACCTTTCAGTCTTAAGCTTGGAATATTTTTGTGTCCTCAGCATAAAATAACTAAAAACAGGAACGAAAAGTAAACATTTCTAAATCAATAATAAAATAAACTGACCTTGTACCTTCACCAAACACAAAGCTGTAATAAGAATCCTTGTTTAACCTCAGCTGTCCTGTTTATGTTCAATAGTTTGGTCCACTACCTCCTGACAACAGCTGCCTCCCTGTGTTGACATGTTTTCCATAGTCTCAAGCTAAACTGTTGGTTGTAATGTGTCAGGGCAAGAGTCTACATCACCAGGCTTTAAAATAGTACTGGTGACAATACAAACATTTCCATTCAAACACACATACAATATATACACACACTTACACACTTACAAACAAACACATGAACATACATATACAAACATACACGAAAATAGCAAACATTTCAATCAAGTTTTATACAGTAGAGTTTCTTTCACAGACATGAAGACTGTGCACACAACTTTATTATATGTATATTAACAGAAAACACATAAGCATACTCAACAAACCTGCAGGACTGCGATTATAACGAGAGTCTGGTGTTCCTGTCTGGGATGATACTGGGGTCTGGAGACTGGGAGCAGAAGAAACCTGGATGGTACACGGTAAGCTCGGAGGTCTTTGGTCCACTGTGACTTGTCCCTGAGAACTGTGGTTTGATGTGGCACATCCTTGGCCACTGTGAGATACAGGCAAGGGTCTCTGGGCCACTTCAATTTGTCTGTGGGAGTTCTGAAGCCAGCCCGGCAGTTGGTTGCTTATTGTGGGAGGTCTCTGTATGTCTTGTGGCAAGCTCGTCGGCTGTTGACTCGCTTCAATCTGGCCGTGGACGCTACGTGGCAAACTCGGTTGTTGATGCACCGTAACATGCACCTGCGCTGTCTGTGTCAAACTCGGCGGTCTTAGGTTTATTGGAAACTGTCCCTGAGTGGTCTGTGGTAGTCCTGGTGGTCTCTGATCCTGTATAGTGTGAGACACATTAAACTGTTGTTGATTATGGTTTGTGGGGCCTTGTACAACACCTGTTGATCTACTTGGCTGCCGGTCAGTGACACCTTGTTCCTGTCCAGGTACACTGTATGTCAGGGCTGGTGGTCTCTGATCCACACCAATGTGTCCCTGTGCAGTGTACTGAAGGTTTGGTGGCCGTTTTTCGGGAATAAGGTGTCTTGTGTGGTTAATGACGCCAAAATTTCGAGGAGCAGAAGCCTGTTGGCTTAAATCTAAAGCTTGTGTCCAACCCACTGCTTGCAGTGGTCTCGGAGATGACTGCGAGGAACTGAAATTTAGATCTGGTCTTGTTGGTGCCTCTGAACAGGACCCCATGAAGGAGAGTGGTGGCGGCATCCCTCGAGGAGGTTTCATGTTGTTGCTGCTGCCCCCCACCCCCATAAATGTCAGAGGGGGCGGTGGTGATCCTCGGTTGCTCGGCCTGGAAGGGTTCCAATTGTCGGGTCTTTGGGCTGAAGTAGAGTATCTGCTGTAAGCTGCCGGTATGCCCTGACTCAACGTCTCTCGAACCCTGCCTGCGTGATCTACCGTTAAAATTCTTGCTCCCACAGAAGAAGTTGGTGTCTGTACGACTGCTGCCGACGGTATCCCCGCTGGAGGACCCGTAGGCATCACAGCAGGAACATATATTCTTCTCTGACCACTAACAGCCTGAGCGCGTTCCGACAGCGACGCTAAGGAAGCGTTCGCGTCCTGTCCGTCCGGGACCTGGGCAAGAATACGAAACTGTGGCTGGCCAGCCATTTGCCCCGGAGCCATGAAGGTCGTGGTGTACACCTGTCCTGGAGGCAAGGCGGCGGTCGTGTACATCTGAGGAGCGGACACGGCAACGCTGTACGCCTGCTTCCGTTGTTTACCTTTACCGCCCTGCTTATGTCCTGAGCCTTTACCAGTCCCTTTCGTGGGTTGACCTCGGCTGGCTGGTGGAGGCTTAACGGAAGCACTGGCCTCTATCTTACTCCCCTGATCATCAAGGACCAGAGACCAGGTTGGTGGTGGATGGGACTTGGCCTTCAGCCCAAACATTCCAGGGTCCATTAATATTTGACTCCCTTCTAATGAATCTAAATCAGAGTTCCTTGATACTCTCTTTGCTAAATTAAGACCAATTTTGCCAAGAAAGTTTTTCTGACCATTGGTTAATCTCTCATTCTGAAACACCATCAGCGGTTGTTTACTGCACGTTATTATTCCCTGGCTGATCATCTCGCTGGTTCTGTCGCTGATGGACTGGTCAGCCGCACTGGAAGCTTTACTAGTCGCAGCTTCTTTGTTCTCCCCCATGAATGTGAGACGAGGAGGCTTCGTGCCCTGGGACTTGTGCTTGTGTGGCCGAGGAGCTGCCGATGTGGAGGGGGCAGAGGCGTCTTGGGTCACCGGCCAAGACTCTGGCTCTGCCCCAGTGCGAGCAGCCAGTAACATCTGCTGTACACTGGCCGACTTACTGCCCAGTGGCCCTACTTTAGGCATTCTTCTCTGTTCTTTAGATGATCCTACAGATGGCTTAGATCCTTGTGGCAGCAGTGGGAGACGAAAGTTCTTCTGTGACGTCAAGTAACCTGATGGAGGACAACATCATCCAGTCACTAACTTAACATAAAATCAATCAGTTTCTGAGTGATACAACTATACTATGTAAGTACAGTATACTTCTATATCTAAATCATGAGAGCTAACACATAACACCATGATTTTAATGCAGTGTATAAGAGCAGCAGTAGGGGGTGTAGGAGGCGTGAAGAATAATGTAACTCACGTTTAATATCCCAGTTCCTCAGCTGCCGACGTAACAATATCCCGGACATTAGACTTATCTGGTGCTTCTTCAGGAACGCCTTCTTGATGTGCCTGTGGGTCATCAGCTCCAACTTCACACACACTTTCCTCTGCAACACTGAAACACAATATCATCCAACTTGAACACAAACATTATCATGTTCACTGTATCATACTTCAAGTAGAACCTAACAGCCAGTATGAGGTCTAGGTACCCACCAGACCTCCAGCAGTCACTAATACATCTTACTTACAATCTTCCTTTCCTCAGGGGATGGTTATAAGGGAGACAACTACAGTAATCCTACACTAACTCACCCAACACCAAAGTCTCTGAGACCTGCTGTACTGGCTCCCACAGCTGCTTTACCTTCAGGTTATAATAATAAATAACATAACTATGGTAGGAACAGCAAACATACAACACTATCATATATATAAACCTAACAATAATATATTACCTCCTTATTTACCTAATATAGCAGTGTGATTATTTACAGTGATTTATAATGAGATGTAGACTCACTTACGATAAAATAATGTGTTGGCTGAAAATGATTTACTCTCTCTGTCTCTCTCTCTCTGTTATTACCACACTTCAACAACTAGGGTCTTTAAACCTGTAACAAGACTAGTGATTAAATTGGTTCTAAAACTCTTTGATGTCTCTCTCACATGTTTCCTCTCTCTCTCACTTGCTTGCTTGCTTGCTTTCCCTCTCTCTCTCACATATATTCATCCACCAATCTCTCTCAATTAAGACACTAATAAAAATCTATCACTAACCAAAAGTCACTCGCCCCGATTCCGAATCTATGAATTTAGAATTTTTACCCGATTTTATGGACCCACCAAGTAGTACTGATGCTGTTACGTGACTATCACTAATAGTTTCATCTGCAAGGAATTCACATGAAGGACTGTACTTACCACCACCAACTCCTGTACCAAGTTTGTAAAGATCCTCAGCTATTTCTCTTCTATGCTGTTCACTAACATCCATTCAGACAGACTTAACTATACTCTAAGGCCGACGAAATCTTGAGCTCCAGGTGGCACGGGACATGATATGTTTCCTCACCACTGTGTTCCCTCCCTATCGAGTGTTGTCGGGCCTCTACTTTCATTCAACATTACCACTGACTTACAAGGTGGATCTGATGGGGAGGAAGGGGGGGGACACAGGGTCGAGTTATCTTCCCTTATTACTCTAATAATGTGTTTCTCTTCCCATCCATCAAATCCACTTGTTTTAATGGATCAATTACATCAAAGTCATGTTGATTGTTAACCTATCTTGGGTGGGTAAAGTAAATGTATCTCTTGATTAATAATTCAAAGGCTTCATTACAGTCTCAGATGTTGGTATACTGAGCCCACCTCTGCTGGCTAGATCTTTATACTTGAGTGGCGGGAGAGAAGAGCAGGGTGGTGGTGGCGAGTCAGCTGTCAGTGCAGGTGTTGGGCTTATAAGAGAAGGTTTTCTTGCCAGCATAGCAGATAAAGTCATACTACTGTTCAGGCCATGTGAAGACCCCGAGCCAAATGCACTTGATAATTTGCCAACGGTCTTATTGCCGAGTGAAGGCGCCGTTCCCAGTACGCTGGAGTGTGAGGGTTGCACCGACACTGAACCATCACTGTTTGAGGTCACTGTGGCTGGTGTGTTCCTCCCACATGAAGATTCTACTCTGCATATAATTGATGACCTTACCCCCACTGACTCACTATTCAGATTAACAATACTATCAGAACTTTCTCTTTCCTTCTTCAACGACTCTACAACTTTTGTGGTATTGTTCTTTTTATATGAAGTCTTACCCGATGGATGTCTTCTTTTCACTTGTCCTTTTGTTCCTCCTAAAGTCATATGCTTTTTCTTGGATGGTTTAGAGGGTGACGGTAGTGTGTTGTTGAGCCATCCATCACTTTCTGCCAGGGAGACCTTCACCTCTCTCTCACCGCTACAACTATTATCCAGCGCTAATAGTGATGTTGTAGAGCTTCTGTCCACACCTTTGTCTGAAAAGATGTGACATATCTTACCATCTGAAACTACAAGCCACTTTAATTCCTTTTATATAACAGTTGCCTCATTTTTAGTCAATAAACTGCCAATATCCTCAAGCAGTGGTATCAGAAGCTTTTAAATCCCACTACAGAAAGAAAGGAATCACTCTAGACAGTCTTGAACTCCACATGGTGACAGAGTTAAATAAACTGGACCTGTATAAGAGCACAGGAATTGATAGCATCCCAGCCAGGTTTTTGAGGGACAGTGCCACTATATTAAAGACACCAATAACAACTGTAATTAATCTCTCCATTCTGAACAACACTGTACCAGATGAGTACAGTGCAGTATAAGTTTGCCAGTGTCACCTGTATAAGAAAGGCGACAGATCTCATGTAGGTAATTACAGGCCAGTTATAGTAACCAGAATTCTTGAGAGAGCGATGTATGTTCAGGTGGAAAGACATCACAATGACTATAATACTTTGTACAGCTACCAATCAGGCTTTAGGGACTCTCACTCAACTGACACCAGACCCCAAACAGCTCTGGGATCTCACATAGGTATAGTAACTCTAGACTTAGAAAAGGCCTTTGACACAGTCCATCATGATATACTATGTCAAAACTAGATAATGTTGGCAATAGGTCTGTTGACTGTTTTAAATCATAACTTAGCAAAAGGAAGCAATTTGTTGTTGTAAATATCTCAAAGTCAACATCCATGCCAAAAGTCCGAGAAGCCCCACAAGGGAGTAACGTAGGACCTTTGGTCTTCCTGTGTTATGTAAATGACATGCCCATTAATGTCAATTGTAAACTTTGGCTGTACTATACTGACGACAGTGCTCTTGCAGTGTTCGGCAAAGATCCAGATGATATAGCTTAAGAGTCATGCAAACAGTGGCTCATAGACAACATATTATTCCTACATCTTGGAAAGACTGAAGCAACATTATTTGGATCAAAAAGAAAATTATAAAGAGCAAACAAATTCATTGTACACGTGGGAATGAACCAACTCAACTGTAGCCTCAGTGAAATACCTCGGGGTAACTCTTGACTCTTATTTGTCTGGTGAATTAATAATAATATATAATACACTCTAGTTAAAAAAGTACAGCACTGTAATAACAAAATAAAATTTATCTTTATAAATGCTAAATGCCTCTCAGCCAATGCCCACAGGACCCTTTGCTTGGCGCTCACACAATGTCACTTGGACTGTTCCTGTTCATTATGGTACTCTGTCCTAACACACAAACTAAAAGCCAAGCTACAAATTATTCAAAACAAGGTGGTGAGGTAAACAAATCAAAGCAAAATGCTAAACAATACACAACAGATGAAGCTACAGCAAGCAAAGACAGTGAGTTTATATATTATCAACCACAGAATGCTGTACTGTGGTAGTGAGTGACCCGTCAGCTTCGGATAGTCCAAGCACACTGTAATGCTTATTGAATTCTATCGAACAAATTTCCACTAATACTCCTGAAGACAAACTATTACTGATAGAGACCAAGAGTAAGCCTAAGTAAAGGAGCCTCCTGGCAATAAGCAGCTGACAGTTATCCTTGGTCAAGTTGCCTTACTGTTTACCTGCAGCACTGTCTCGGTACACTGTATACTCCCACGGCCTATGTGCACCATGTACCTACATTGTCTATATTTATGCTAAACTGTAAACCTGCATAGTCTATATACATGTTTATCCAATTGTAAACCTGTATGACAATTTTACTGAATAGATATTAGTCACCTCTTGGGGTTTCTTCCCCTAAAAACAAAGACAGTATCAAGGTCCAGTACTGTAAGACACAGTAGAAAAACTCACCATTTGTTGCATCAATCTTTTCATGTCTCACAAGAGGCGGCATACAGAGTGCCTTCTGTTTACTTGATTTAGAAGAGCCACTTTTCTTTGGCGATGAAGATGTATGGTGTCCACTCTTCTTACCAACCGTTTTTATAGTTTGATATTTCTTTAGTAGTGGCGGAAAATAGAGGCCACTCTGCTTCACGCGAGAGATGGCCGGCACATAGTCCACCTTGGCTGGCAACACTGGAGGTTCTGAGGGGGACGACCCATCATCTTGAGAGTTTGTAATAATACCACTACTGGAGGGTACAGGTAGGCCACCGTCGCCTTCCTCCGAGTCTCTACCACCAACTGTGCTCTCTTGTTCAATTCTCACAACATTCACACTTGCATAATCACCGAGGGTCTCCGACGTTGGTACGACCCGAGACGCCACCACAGATGACTGGTCTTTCTTGAGCTTCATCTGACCGCCAGAATTTCCTTTACTTCCATGTTTTTTGGGGCTGAATTTTGTCGTCCGTGCCGAATGTTCCGGACTCTTGCCGTGTTTCTTTGACGACTGTTTTGGCGTTTTAGCGGCCGAGTTAGCTTCATTATTATGGTCGGCCGTGACGGCGGCCATGATCTGGCGCACTGCAGTAGTCTCGCCCAACAAGGTGTTGATGAGGTCGTTGACTCTGAAGTTGTCTTCCTCCAGGGCGGCTTCATCCTGCAAGTAATTAAAGATGTCTAGTATCATAGCTCAAAGGATCCTGCTGGAAATATTGCCTCTGTTGAGCTAAGTCAGGTCAAACTGTCTTACTACTTACCATTGTTTATATACTGTACCTACACTCTCTATGTACACTATATATATCTCCATTAAATTATCTATATACATGATAAATCAATGTAAACTTGACAGAATATATATCTATCTATCAACTGCCAACCTTGTAAGTAAGGACAAACAGCCACCACATGTAAGCCAGACCCTTCATATAATACAACAGCTGTCAGGGCAAAGAGAAATTAAACTCTTCAATAAGGGCCATAACTTTTACTATTTTACTTAGATAATGTCAGATGCTTTTACTTATTTACTCAGCATGGAGAGCCCCAAGACGAGGTTAGAAGGAATTAGGCAAATGTAAAAAAAGATTGAACCCAGTAAATAACCCCTTGATGTACTGTACTGTAGCAGACCATCACTCCTGAGAACTTTATAAAGATTGTCTTCTAGAATTTAGGAAAATTATTTCACACCCAAGAACCAGATATTTCAATAACATTCCGCCCACTACTCCCTTCACTATGACTCTCTTCTCTGTTATCACACATATTTCTTGACCAGGTCTTCCAGAAATGTTGAAAAAAAAAAAAAAAAATGACAGAAATCCAAAAGTAACAGAGGCCAGCACAGCACAGTACTGTGTTGTGTTGTCTTCATGTGCACAGTCTGAACAAAAAGACCAACTCTTTTACCAAAACTTATACTGTACTGTACACGTTAATATATTAACTCACCAGAAAAAGGGTAGAAGATGAGACTCCAGAGGTCAAGACTGACTGGTGTTGTGAGGAGGCAGTGCCACACATTGCTGTCAGTGGTGGAGGTGCCAGAGTGCCAAGGTCTGGAGGCACCTTCACTTTACCTGTAGCTGCAAGTTTCTTACTCTTGGGACCCGGACGTGAAGACTTGTATTTCTTGACATTATTATGACCGAGGAGGCTACTAGGGTTAGTGATGATGGCTGGAGTGGACATGATGGGGGCCGGGAGAGATATTTTAGTCGACACTGTTGTGTTGGAGAGACTGAGAGGCGAGACATAGGAGGTACTGGGAGACACAGTGGCGACTGTCGCCGTGGACGAAACGGGAACCAACGGAACGCCGGCCTTCAAGAGAGACGCCAAGTAGGAAGAGGAGGACACGGGTGTCGGAGACAGGACAGTCGACTCTGGAGGAGACGGGCCAGACACTGCTGGAGACCAAGTGTATGTTCTGGATGACATGGAAGGCTTTGGCGGCTTGTGACTAGAGTCCACAGAAAATGGAGAAGCTTCTGCCGGCGTGAGGATCCAATAGAACTGTTGCGGCACACTAGACGTCACCGAGGAGACTGGCCGAGACACTTTTAAGTTTGGTTTGACTTGTAAGGAACTTGAGGTCACATTGGAAGTGTGAGGAGACATCTGTGTGCCCAGGGTGGCAAAAGCTACTGTTGCCGGAATAAAGACCATTGGCGAGGTAGTCATTCCAACAGAGGAGGACGAGACCTTTGGTGAAGCATTTGGCACTGATGAAGGTTGGCGGTCTCGAGACACAGAAGTTGAGGCGGTGGACACGTACGACATATTTGACGACTTAATTATACCGTGACTGAGCAGCGATCCCGCCCGATCGTGACTCTCCTTCTTTACCACCACTTGGTCCGTCTCCTTCGCTACAGAAGGTACCCGACGGAGCTCTGCATCATGTGATGTAGAACTGACCTGGGTACAGCTGTCTGGCCAGTCAGAAACAGTCTCTTCTTTAGGGGTTTCTCCAGGAGTAATAGGAGATGAAATTGGAACAACAGAGTAATGGGGAGTATTTGGCTTATTATTCAGAATATCCATTTGTTTTTCGATTACTGGCAGAGGAATAAGTGGTGGAGGTTTAGCAGCAACGGAGGATGGAGTAAAGGTCTTGAGTCGAGGCAAACTGGAGTTGAACTCTGTCTCAGGATGTGTCACTAACTGTGGGTGTGGAGGATGGGCGACCACCTGTCCGGCCCGTGACACTATGGCAGGCGAAGACGACGCCGCAGGTTGACCGGCCGAGGGAGTGTCCTGCACCCTCTGAGGGTCTGCTGCTGTAGATGTACCGGACAATCTTCCGGGAGGTTTTAGAACCTTACTGGAGTTTGGTGCCATGATAACTCTCGAGTGTAACTTGGAAAAAGGTATCATGGGAGGGCCAGATGGTTGTAATGATGGTGACACCTGGGTAGTGAATGCATCTCTAGGAGTCAGTGTCAAAGGAGCAGCTGCCAGGGGAGGAGCATAAGGGGAATGGTTAAAGAGAGAAGGTGCAGGAGAGAGCCATGGCATTTTTATCAAGGGTGGATGGGCTGCTCCCACTTGAGGCTTGAACAACACAGGCGGTCCCAGAGTATTAGGCGTACAAGAGGTTCTCGAGGAGTCAGTGAGTGTAGAGGAGGATGACCTTGAATCAAACTGTAGTCGAGTGTTGTCTAGTGGATGTAATCTTGGCTTCTTCGGTGGTGAGTCTTTCTTCCCCACGTCTGAAATACCAAAAAATTGAAAACTCATTAGTAAGAATAAATATATCAATAACAAAGAAATAACACATATGAGGTACATGTACTGTACTGTCTAGGTAAGGTGGCCATTAGGTAGTACTGTACTTCACAAACACGGTCCTACCTATCCATGACCCACCACGTACACTAATATAAATAACTTTTATATATGAGTACATCTACCACTTAAACTCCCTAGTTTTCACTTTCCCAAAAAATCATTTGTCGCCTTAAAACGCCCAACCTATTACATTGCATTTCAGTAAATGACGTCAAAACTTAGATTTTGTTAAAATTTCATACAAAGGCGCCCCTTTACATGCTGGTTAAGGATCAAAGTTGAATATAGTGAAATTTAAGTAATGAATATTTATTAATGACCCTCAAAATAATCAAATACTTTCCCAAAATTTAAAATATTAAGTTGTGCCTGTAAGTTTTAATTTTCCTGTTCTGGGTCATCGAAAAACAATAATCACATGTAATATAACTGTTTCAAATCAAGGAATACCTTTTGATGACCCTGTATGGCTGGTCAGAGGAGACTGTGGGGAAGAGGGAGAACAGGAAATATAGGTGGTGTGTTGAGGAGGAGGAATATTACATTAGTGAGAGAAGAGAAGGGGCGAGAGGGTGAGGGGAAGAGAGAGAAAAATCATGTTGTGAGGTACAGTATTATGGCCGACTCTCACAGTTCCCTCACACACTGTAGAGACGAGAGGTAAATTGTACCAACTTCATCCCTCACCACATAACACAACATACACCCTATCCCTCACCACATAACACATCATACACCCTATCCCTCACCACATAACACATCATACACCCTATCCCTCACCACATAACACATCATACACCCTATCCCTCACCACACAACACATCATACACCCTATCCCTCACCACATAACACAACATACACCCTATCCCTCACCACATAACACAACATACCCTATCCCTCACCACATAACACATCACACACATACACCCTATCCTCACCACATAACACATCTTACACCTATCCTCACCACATAACACATCATACACCCTATCCCTCACCACATAACACATCATACACCCTATCCCTCACCACATAACACATCATACACCCTATCCCTCACCACATAACACATCATACACCCTATCCCTCACCACATAACACATCATACACCCTATCCCTCACCACACAACACATCATACACCCTATCCCTCACCACATAACACATCATACACCCTATCCCTCACCACATAACACAACATACACCCTATCCCTCACCACATAACACATCATACACCCTATCCCTCACCACATAACACAACATACACCCCATCCCTCACAACATACACATACTGCACTTACTTGCTAGGGTACCCGGTCTTGTGTATAGCTCATAGTAATCCTAGAACATCCTTGGCCAAAACTAAAGTGTTGTACTGTACACCTAAAAATTTAACCACCATTCAACTTTTTATCGCATTTTTGTGGTTGTTTGGATGTATTGAGCTATTTAGATCAACCTGTTGGTATACGGTTCATCTGTCGCGTATTTAAACTGGAAAAAAATATATACTTGTGCTCGGAAAATAAAATTGCAAACTTCCCACCACCACCGACTCCCTTTCCTTCCCTGTTAAATTGTTCTTGTCCACGACCACACACATCACCAACACCAACTTAAAGAACTGTAGCCGTGTATATAGAACAGACAGACAGACAGACACCAATAAAGAAGAACACCACGACACACCACCATCAACACAGGTCACCTTCAGTCGAGACAAACTCACACGTCACCACCCTACAGCACCTCATACCTCACCACCTTGACACAACACCCTACAGCACCTCACCACAACACCCTACAGCACCTCACCACCTTGACACAACACCCTACAACACCTCACCACACAACACCCTACAGCACCTACACCTTGACACAACACCCTACAGCACCCCTCACCACCTTGACACAACACCTACAACACACACCTACCACCTTAAGACAACACCCTACAGCACCTCACCACCTTAAGACAACACCTACAGCACCTCCCACCTTGACACAACACCCTACAGCACCTCACCACCTTGACACAACACCCTACACACACTCACCTTCACCCACCTCACCACCTTAAGACACACACCACCAGCTTACCTCACCACCTTAAGACAACACCCTACAGCACCTCACCACCTTGACACAACACCCCTACAGCACCTCACCACCTTGACACAACACCCCCAACAACCTTACCTCACCCTACAGCACCTCACCACCTTAAGACAACACCCTACACACTCACCACCTTGACACAACACCCTACAACACTCACCTTACCTACCAGACAACACCCTACAGCACCTCACCTTGACACAACACCCTACAGCACCTCACCACCTTGGACACAACACCCTACAACACCTCACCTTTTACTCACCACCTTAAGACAACACCCTACAGCACCTCACCACCTTAAGACAACACCCTACAGCACCTCACCACCTTGACACAACACCCTACAGCACCTCACCACCTTAAGACAACACCCTACAGCACCTCACCACCTTGACACAACACCCTACAACACCTCACCTTTACCTCACCACCTTAAGACAACACCCTACAGCACCTCACCACCTTGACACACACCCTACAGCACCTCACCACCTTGACACAACACCTACAACACCTCACCTTACCTCACCACCTTAAGACAACACCCTACAGCACCCTCACCACCTTAAGACCAACACCCCTACAGCACCTCACCACCTTGACACAACACCCTACAGCACCCTACAGCACCTCACCACACAACACCCACACCTACAGCACCTCACCTTACCTCACCACCTTTAAGACAACACCCTACAGCACCTCACCACCTTGACACAACACCCTACAACACCACCTTGACACAACACTCACCTACCTTACTCACCTTAAGACAACACCCTACAGCACCTCACCACCTTGACACAACACCCTACAGCACCTCACCACCTTGACACAACACCCTACAGCACCTCACCACCTTGACACAACACCCTACAGCACCTCACCACCTTGACACAACACCCTACAGCACCTCACCACCTTGACACAACACCCTACAGCACCTCACCACAACACCCTACAGCACCTCACACAACCTTACTGTATGTGTCCGACTCCTCACAGCAGTAGACGTGAACCATCACCTCACACTGTTCACGGGGACCACAACACACACAATCATGGCTATTATTGTCCTTAACAGTATCAGAGCTGCACAATTTGTTCCAGGGCCAACTGCAAGAGAAGAAGAAGCCGTAACAGTGTCCCAGCTGAAGACCTAATCCAACTACCGACTTCCACACCACTGAGAGACGGTCATAACAGACGGTGACCATTTCAGACCGTCAGACGACAGTGACCAATTTGCTGAAAAAGTGCCAACTTTAATATTCGGGGGGATTTATTTATTCATTTATTTTTATATATTAGTATTATAATGAATTCTCTGGATATTTTTCTTTATTTTCTGACCTGTGCTGGTCAGCATGGCAACGCCAAATTAGAAAAGTTGTCAGTCGGTAATTTTTAATTACCTGTATAAGTAAAAATCTTCCACGAACATTTTTTTGTTCTATAAAATGTTTTCTTATATATTTGGATCATTTACATTAATTATTACCGTAACTAAGTTTAATTACCTTGTCTTAATTATCCTGTTCATATTTTAAGCATTTTTTCTTCAAAATATATAGTTCAGTGCGTGGAAAGGATATGTATTATATATACTGTATATAATAGTAACATGTTCATGTCCGTCAAAAAATGCACCGATCTCTAACCACGAGTAAAGGCGAGCAAAATGATCACATGTTTCCAGTACAGAAATAAGTCACTAAGGTTTGTTCATCTGTCCTTCCCTTCTTCAAGTTCCTCCGCCCTCCGTAATTTCCCTGAGGAACTCACTTCTTCTGTTTCAATGGCTGAGACGACTTAGTGTATAGACTGTATAATATAACTCTCTCTCTCTCTCTCTCTCTCTGGTCTGATCTAACACGACGAAGCTGACTCATCACTGAACAAGCACCGACCAGTGTCCGTGTGGCAGTTTATCTTCCCCACACAGCCTCACAAGACACCCTCGTCAGCACCACCACCAGGCAGTGACCGTGGCCACCACACTTCATGAACCTCAGGAAGAAAGACCAGGTTTTATGGTAACACTGACAGGGACCACACCATGGGCTGACAGGGACCACACCATGGGCTCACAGGGACCACACCATGGGCTCACAGGGATGGGCTCACAGACCACACCATGACAAGATGTTTTGGAACCTCGCGCGGCCGTGTAAGCTCCCTCACCCCGCTGTGCAGGGGAAGTGAGGGGGGGGTCAGGGGTGAGGCGAAGGTGAGGGGTGAGGCTAAGTGAGGGGTGAGGGTAAGTGAGGGGTGAGGCTAAGTGAGGGATGAGGCTAAGTGACGGTTGAGGCTAAGTGACGGTTGAGGCTAAGTGAGGGGTGAGGCTAAGTGATGCAGCTGGGCCAAAAATGACCCATCGACAACACGGTAAAAGAACCCCGTTAAAATGTCTCCTCAAAATAACTCCAAATGCCACATGTGAACACCTACACACACACACATACATACAAAGATACACACACACGCACAGAATGCCCAAAAGATATGGAAGAAGACGGTTGTAGGAGAGGGAAGGCAGGTTGGTGACAAGCAGGAGGCAGGCAGCATGGAACAGGTGCGGGTCTCACTGTTAAAGATGAGTTGCTGAAATAGTCGACAACTTTAGCCGAAATGTTGTGGCCAGCGAACACCGGCCTGGCCTCCAAAACTGGCCTGGACGGTGGCTTCCGGCCTCCAACACCTCCCGGGACGATGGTACAAGTCTTAATAACCTCAGCGGATAACACAACATGGCCTCGTCAACAAGAGTCTTCTATAAATATTCCTGTCCGGTGATAAATA